CCTACTACACTATGGCCATTATTCTCTGCTCCACGCCGAGCATTTAATCCCCCAGGATCCTGTGGTGACTACCCCCTAGGCCCAGAGGAGAGTGACTCATTTTTGGTGACCCCCACCGCAGCCCCCACCATTAGAGAAGACCTCTAAAGGCGCCCATACTGTGAGAAAGCCTGCCCAGTGTGAGCTGCACCTCCTATAGGACAAGAGGGGACCTCTGGTTTACATCATTGCTAGTGAGTGCGCATTTCTTATATTTCCTGCACGATATCTGGTTTCTGCCTCACTGGGAATAACAAAGTCACCAAATTTATTTGATTAGAATTGGAAATTATTATCCTTAAACTTTATTTGTCTATTTGAGGTTGTGGTCAGCCTCAGATCTATGCTATATATTGTTCATTAGAGCTGCACTTTTTTCCATATTTGTATGCTTGAGAGGTTTTAAGGTTTCCTTTTCGTGTATCAGCTGCTCTTATTTTCATTGTTTTTAGCGCTCGCTGGACCACTGTTATTTTGGTAACATACCGCATAGCTACTAAAATACCGCATGAGTTATATGTCCTGTGGTATTTTAGTAGTGAAAACGTTCTTTAAAGTGACTCTGAAAGCTTATTTTTTTATGGAAAAAATAACAAAAATGTCTATACTTACCTGCTGTGTGCAGTGGTTTTACACAGAGCAGCCTGGATCATCCTCTTCTCTAGACCCCTGCAGGCGCTCCTGGCCCCTCCCTCCTTTATTGTTTACCCACCTGTGTTCTGGCATTTGTTTTTATTTTCAAAAATATTTCAAAAATTAAATTACCTGGTGAGGTCCAACAAGGGCTCATTTGAGGGGTGCTTATACTGTCATTTCATTTTTATTTTAACAGAAAGTAATGGTAATAGGTTTTTTTTATTATTTGGTCTTTTTTGCCTTTTTTGGCAAAAAATAAAAAAGTAATTAAATAATAGCAAAAGTAAGCTCTATCTGTTTTGAAAAATAATATAAAAATTCATATGTACAGTGTCAGGACGGAGTATTTTTCAGTCAAACTTTTACAGCAGTGAAAACTGAAGCATAGTCTGGACAGGAAGATGGTACAGTATAATATGCTAGTCCTGAAATGGTTAAAACCTCCTTTTTGGATAGAAAATATCTTTAACTACATCCCTGCTGCATGAAGCCCTAGTGTGCATGTATACAATTTAAAAAAGGTCTTGTAAGTTTAGTTTGAAGTTTGAACCATTGTTGATTTCGATCTTGAGAGCGTATCTCTCTTGCCAAAAACTCAGCACGGTAGCGGAAGAAAGAGGAGAAATCTATAATGCTGATGATAGGAAAGAGAAGATAAAAATGTGCTAAGGCATGCAATGATTTATTAATTGTTTCCGAGATCATTAGCATTCAATGTTTCAATTTTTCCTCTTAAATTATGAATTACTCATTAGAGACAACTCCCTGTAACTTAGCTTATCTACCAACTACAGACCAAGACCTCATTTTCCCACTGCTTTCATGTGTGCCAAATACTGATGACAATTGCAACTTTTTCAGAAACTCCTAAAAATGCATTTCCCATCAAATCTTTTTATAAGCAATTTTTTTTTCTTTTGTCACGTTTGTGCCTAATTAGGCTTTCCCTTCCTAAAATTTAATTCATGGGCAAGCCTATAATTACATTTTTCCTTTCCCAACATGGCAGGAAGGAAGCGGCCTTCTCAAATAGACGTCAATTGAGCTGTTAAGTGTTAACCTCTTTGAATAAATGCCATTTATAGGCAGAACAAGACTTTGATTGCTAAGCTACAAAAATAATGTGCATCCTGTCCTGACAATTGCTACTTATAAGGTCAAATGTGACTGAAGGACATAACCCACAATGTCAGGACTACTGGTGGCGTAATCAGCTTTGATAAAAAAAACTGAATGGTAGAAGGGAAGTGGCATGCATGCAAACACACGCACACACTCACTAAAATGGAAGTCTTTTCTAAGATCTGAGTTTATGATAAAAAGGAAATTCAGGCATAAAAAATATAGGATAAAAGGTTAGAAAACATTTTTTATGTTCCTATTTTTTCCTTTCTTTAACCACTTAAGGACCACCCACACACAATGTACTGCGGACGGGTGCCCCATACAGGCAAAGTGAGGTACCTGTATGTTGCTGACCTCTTCTGGGTAGACAGTGCCCCTGACAGCTGACTGCCGGCTGTTTGTCATCAGGTCCCGGCCAATGATTCATGGCTGGAACCTACTGATCGGCTGTGTCCAATCACAATCCAAAAACCCTGTGTTGACAATGATCGGCTGTGTCCAATCACAATCCAAAAACCTGTGTTGACAATAAACGGCTGTGTCCAATCACAATCCAAAGACTTGTGTTGACAATGAACACAGGGCTCTGTACAGAGGTTACAATCACTGTTTCTTCGCCCTGTAGAGCAGGTAGAAAGAACAAAGAGAGTTTTAGTAAAAAGCAGTACATAATACACACATTACCACTTAACTCCGTGATTACCCTGAGATGTTAACCCATTTCCCACCAGTGCCATTAGTACAGTGACGGTGTAGAGTATTATCACTAATCACTGTATTAGTGTCATTGATGATGTCAGTATCAGTAAGTCAGTTCCCACCCAGTGTCAGTTAGAGTCAGATTGCCTGCAGCACTGTTACAGTCCCACTATAAGTCGCTGATCAACTCCATTAGTAGTATACAGTATAAAAAAATATCTAGTAAATATACCATAATTTGTAGACACTATAACCCTCACGCAATATACACTTATTGGGATTTTTTGTTTTTACCAAAGACATTTAGCAGAATACCAATCCTCAAAAACTCTCTAGTAATCCCCAAAGAAAGGTCAACCTTTCACCCTTGAAAGTACAAACATCAAAACCTTTTCTCCAAAACCTTATACCAAACACCCTAAATAATACTGCAATAAATGTCCAAAATTAAAGTCCAAAATGTCCAAAAGAATAAATCTTCAAAATGTTGTGTGAAAATATCCAATTCAATTCACCGCTCCAGGTCCAGAATACCTCAAAAATATGAAACTAAAATATAGTGCGTTATCCTTTAAATTATTCAGTGGTGTGTGATTCCATGCAAAACCACTAGTAAAAAAAAAAACAAAAAAAACTATATGATGAATAAATGCAGCACTCTGTGAATTTCTATTCAAAACGTGAATATCAGCACTTCAAAGAATATAAATACATTAAAATAAAATGCAAGTGAACAATCCGTGACTCCCCCACTCGTGAGGTAAAATTCACAGCAAGCTGAACAACCTGTGATATTGTGCTAAATACAATGGTGCCACACCATAGTGGGATTCAATGCAATTACCCTCTCTCAGCTTAAACCAGCATACACCAGCACTCCAGGGTATTTCCAGCTTCCACCCTGCGGGTACGCCCAATTCAATCTCCCCCACTCCTCATAAGGGCAGAGAAGGCAATAATCAGTGGAGTGTAAAGGGGATCATAACAACTTTATTCAAATCTTACATTAATAACAGGAAAAACCGTCCATCCTTCCCAGCAGTTCTCATAGCCGAATTCCAATAGATGGCTGCGCCACTCCTTCTGGTTTTGCGTCTGACGTCACGTCCCTAATGGGACATTTATTGCAGTATTATTTAGGGTGTTTGGTATAAGGTTTTGGAGAAAACGTTTTGATATTTAGCAGAATACATTTTGGCCTAAATCTATGAAGAAATTTGATTTTTTTTTAATTTTTATTGGATATGTTTTATAGCAGAAAATTTTTATTTCATTTATTTTTCATTGTTATAATGAAAAATAAAAAGCCCACCACAGGAAAGCACTCTTTATGGGAAAAAAAATTATACAGTGGATACAGTGTTGCATGGCCGTCCAATTACCAGTTAAAGTAGCGCATAGCTGAATAACAAAAAAATGGCCTGGTCATGAAGGGGGTAAATCCTTTTGGAGCTGAAGAGAATAACACCAACATATTTGATAAGGTCTTTATGGAGTACATGCCCAAGAGGAGCTTGCAATCTAATGTGCATGTCCCAGACACATACTCTAGAGAAGCGTTTGACAAACCTGCTTAGAAGCCTCTCCAGCAGTTTCCTGGTTTTTCACACATCTATCTATCTATCTATCTATCTATCTATCTATCTATCTATCTATCTATCTATCTAATCTATCCTTTCCAGGCCCAATGAATTGAACACAAACCCCCCAATTTATCTATCCATCCGCATATAGCTTATAAGCAGGGCTTAAAATTTCAATTCTTGAGCTACTAACCAGGCCTTAAGAGTTACTCACCACCAGTTGCTCCACCCAACCCCTACCCTGCTACACCCCTAATTCCGCCCCGAAACACGTCCTCGTAAATTATTTCATGAAATTACACTGGTAAATGTTGCCCACATTACATCAGGGTCCCCCGAGTCCCCCCCACACAGGGTTACATCAGGGTCCCCAGAGTCCCCCCACATTACATCAGGGTCCCCAGAGTCCCCCCACATTACATCAGGGCCTCCAATGTCCCCCTAAACACTCCATCATACTTAGACCATGCACCGTATACAACCATAACCCCCCCCATTATCTTTCACTCACAAAACCATAACTCTACCAAGCATATCCTACATACTATCCAACCCAGCAGTACCTCAATGTCCCATACTCTACCACCCATAATAACCACATCATCCTGAACCTGACCAAACCACTCATACATGTAGGTTTACATACAGACACATGTACATATACACACACACAAACAGAGACACCTGTACACACACACAGACATGTACATACACACACAGAAACATGTACACACACATACAGGCACATGTATACACACACAGACTCATGTACATACACAGTACATACACACAGTACAGTACACATACACACACACAGACACATGTACATACACAGAAATACACATACACAGACACATGTACATACACACAGACACATGTACTGTACGTACATACATACATACATACATACACAGACACATGTACACATAAACAGATGTACGTACATACACACAAACGCACACACACACATGTACATGCACACAGACACATGTACACATACAGACACATGTACACACACATACATGTACATACACACAGACACATGTACAGATACACACATGTACATACACACAGACACATGTACACACACACACACACACATGTACACACGTGCACATACAAATAAAACACACACACACACACACCCCTATAAAAAGTTGCAGTGCTTCGTTACTTCACTTACAGAGCTGGGTACTGCAATCTAGGGGGAGGCAGAGAGCACAGCAACACTCCTTCCTTTGCTTTCACTTTGCTCAACTATTGAGCAGTCTGACGGCTCCCAGTGCGAGTGGCAGATCCGGCCCTGAGTTCCAAGCCTGCTCAGCAAGACGGCCCTGGGGACACACTCGCCCCCCACCATAATTTCCACTCGCCAATGCGAGCAGGCGAGTCAAAATTTCAAGGCCTGGCTTATAGTATCTATCTATCTATCTATTGATCAATCTATCTATCTGTCTATCTTATCTATCCTTTTCAGGCCCAATGAATTGAACACAAACCCCTCAAATCCATCCATCCACATATTGCTTATAGTATCTATCTATCTATCTATCTATCTATCTATCTATCTATCTCTCTCTCTCGCTGAAGCTCAATGAATTGAACACAATACCCCCTTCCCTCTCACACATTCTCATTCCAGGCCAATAGTCCAAGCTTTAACAGAAGGTTGCCAATATGGTGTCAAGGCGAGGCGTGTACTGCAGCACAGCTGGAATCTGATCCTGTGGCCTCTGGAAGATAAGCTGAAAAGAACATTCTGGACTTTGTCCCCTATGTCATTCCTCTGAAGTAATTCAATTAAGGATAACTGCCTCAGTGGGAGAAGGAAGGAATGAGTGCTATGAACCAATTTGCCATATGTTGAATTATACAAATTCATTGCATTAACAACAGCAAAGTGACATATTTTCTGCTGTCGATTTTAATAAGTGAATTAGGAAACATATACGTTTTTACTGTTATTACTATACTGGCTCTGAATCATGTAATGATAAGTGTGATTAAATCACATTAAACAACTATTACTTATGTTATGATATGCTTAAATCCCTGCCCATAGCTTATAATTTGGTTTTTGGATAGAGGGTATTTTCTTCATCATTTAACATGTCTTAAAGTCAAACTGACAGAAATGGTCTCTAATGGCCAAGTTCACCTTTTTATGAAAATACACTGCTTTGTCCAAGGGCCCCAGTCTATTAAAAGTTGTGTAGTTTTCAAATAGTGTTCATAATTTTAATGCCTTACTAGTAGGCCATTACTAACATTCCCAACATCTGCCACAAAAACTCTCACCGAAGCTACATCCTACTCAAGTTCCAAGATACTCCAAACAATAGATGCTTGCTCCCAGCTGGTTCACTTTGGCATTCAAAACCAGCCCATGCTCACTGTGACCCCCCCTAGAAGAACTTGATATACCAGAAAGTGAATCTCTATCCATTTTTTTTGTTGTTATACAGTTGAAAACAGTTAGAACTCCTGTTAGACTTTATTGCCTGTATCATGTTGAAGTCTTTCCCCTTCACTTCCACTCTCCAAGAAAAAAGTAATAAGAGGAAATAATGTCTATCCAAAGTTAGGGGAACTCTATTCTTAGAAAGCTGTTAATGAAACAGGTGTCACCATCATAAGATTTCCTCTCACTTCCTGTTCCAGTAACAACTGTAAAATCAATGAAAATACAAGACTGCACTCAGGTGAGTTAACAGGGTCCGCCCTTCCATGACGTATCAGATTTAAATTTAAATAGAAAAAGCTGTACATCTGACAGGTCTTTTTTTCTTTTTTTCGAAAGCTTTATTGTAATGCATAAGTTCACAATATCAAGTCCAAGCACATCGGTACATTTCACCCCAGGGTTGGCTTAAAGATTGTCCTCGGACTTGTGGTTGAACTTTAAATTATCATCTTACCTGTGTTACAATAGTTTTTGGGGAAAAATAAAAAAGACTTAGTGAATCTGCAACTTTTTTTATTTTAGTTTACGAACTGTAAAAGTTTGTATTTTAAATCACTTTCTGTCCTGGTGATAATTGTAACCAGGCCAAAAAAAAAAACTATGGGCGAATTTCGCAAGCTGTTCTAATTGTTCCATCCTTAATCTGAAATGTAAAAACAAAGAGATTTGGCTATAAATACATTCATTTTATACAGAGCTTTCACTCTGAAATTCTTCAACATAGGTGAACTACAATGGATAGAGATATAGCTGGGGAGTGCTAAGGCTACAGGTCAGTGCATAGCCTGGTTTATACCAGGTGTTTTAGAACCGAGGTCACAAAGGAAATCCTGTATACAGGGCTCAGTAGCACAAACCACAATATACACACAACATAATGATTCAGAGGTTTGCATTCCCCCCTAAAAACATGACGGTATTGGGGAGTGAAGACCTGAGACCTAATGGTTAAACCTCAACTTCATGCAAGAAAAATTTTCCCCCATGCAGTGGGGCTGTACTTGCACTGCATGGATCAACTGCCCATTTTATCTAGGGGTAAACACAAAATTTATACTCACCTGATCCGCCGATCCTTTGGAAAATTGCACTACCCCACTGTCCAGTGGTTGACTGCTCCTGTCTATAAAGTGTGCTCTGAGTGCGCTGATGTCAAGAACAGTCCATTTTAGAAACTGCTGAAGTATGGGGTAAGTATATCTGTGCTGTCCTCTCCCCTAGAATAAAACGAGCAGACCATTGCACAGGAAAAAAAATAAAATTGCCTTGAGTTCAGCTTTAAAAACATCAGAAAAACACATATACTGTGGTTCTTCAGTAGCTACTGGGGCAGTTTTCAGTAGTAGTAATGATCCTGCTGATGTACAGTATATACCGAAACACAGGCCTGGTATGGGTATGTGACCAAACATGCTAGCTTCAGTACATCGAACTCTAAACAGGAGTGGCATGGCAGTACATAGGATCCTAAACAGGAGTGGATGGCATGGCAGAAGTGGCATGGCAGTACATAGGACCCTAAACAGGAGTGGCATGGCGAATGCTTGTTTCAGCTGGTAGGTAAATGTGAACACAGACAGGAAAATAAATTCCAGTAATTTTTCTATGAAACTACATAACTGCATATCAATTGTGTGCTCCATATGACTCCATCTCAGGACATTTGGATTGAGACTTGATGATGTCACCACTGTGCTGCTCACTGTTCTCTTTTATGGAGGGTCTGAAAAAAATAAGCAAAGCCACTACCTTGATGGTTACCTCCATACAGAGAAACACCCTAGAATTCATAAATAACATCATAGGTACTCATTACAAATCTGTCTCCCATTCGTTCAACAAATGTCACAGCTTACAACAGATTCATGTAACTATCAGTAAGGAGTCTGTTACGGAATCGAGTCAGATAGAATTTTGCCTGCGGATCCATATTCACACAGGCAACACAATTTATTCCAGCTTGAAAGAGATCTTATTTACCTCTATGTTTCATATTGCAGATAGGGCATTTCTTAAAGCGGTAGTAAATTGCAGCTTGAAAAAAAAAAATTTTAAAACTCCTGTGCAAGGTAATATCATAATGTGCTAGTATGCATCGCATACTAGCACATTATGAAGGACTTACCTTAAAGCGAAGCCCTCCAGTGGTGCGCTGTCCCAGCTGCAGCTTCAGAGGCTTCCTTCTTGACCTGGTCCTCCTTCCAGGTTCGCAAGCTCTGGCCATCTAACTGGCTGAGCCACGATGATGTCACTCCCACGCGGAAGTATCGGGCCACAAGGAATGTCAGGGGTATGACATTCCTTCAGAGAGCATGAGCTGGTTCTTGCAAAGAGCGAATATCTCCTAAATGGGGCACATTTTGGAGATACTCATTTTACCTACAGGTAGCTTTATTATAAACTTTCCTGTAGGTAAAAGATACAAAAGTAGATTTACTTCCACTTTAAAGCACAATCTTTTTTTTCCCATCCGTCCTTTTCACCCTCTTCTGACCGATCCATCTAAGTGTTAAAGTGGTTGTAAACCTCAGACATGGAATCTGAGCAAAGCACATATTTCTATAGTGTTTACTTGCCTCTCTCCAGAGCACTAAGTATATTTCCTCTCTTTTGCCTCGTTCATCTGCTACAGCATGAGTCACTTCTGACAAGGTTTCCTGATACCAAGAGAAGAATGTTGACAGGGGATTGACCTTAAGCAGAGTAACAGCCTCAGCTCTGTTCCTGTGTGCTGTGTGATGGTGGGGGGAGGTGTCTATTCCCTCCAATCAGCTCTTTAGAGATCTTGTGCAGTGTGCAACTGCAGCTCCCTGCCCCCTGATTTGTGAATCTGTGAAAAAAAAATCATCTCTGAGTTTTACAAGGATATATGGGAAAAATGGCTCAGATAAACAGGTACAACCTATGTAGGAGGATTTGTTTCACCTGAAGCCAGTAATGTCACTGTGTATGTGTAAAGGGTTTATAACCACTTTACATTTTCTGTACCTGGCAAAGCCAGTTATACTTATCTGAGCGCCCTCAGTCCAGATCTCACACTGAAACTATTTTCACCAATGGGGACCATTAGTCCATCGCAGCATGTTAACCCTTGACTGCCAGCCCCCTTCAATCTCCTTGCTCTGACCTCAGATCTGAGAGTGAGGTGCGGATACATGCTGATACATGTAGAAAGCCCTGGATATTTTCAGCCTGTCATTCGAGGGGACAGGCTGGCCATTCGTTGCACAAAGTGCCTTTCTGGTGCTAAGCGCATAGCACTTTGAACACGGCACTTTACTAAGGTAAGTACAAAAGTTAGTGCTTCACCCCAAGTAGTCTGCAAGTGCTCTTTCCTCTTATCTCTTTCCCTCAGCTTTCCTTTGTTATTTCTCCTCACTCTCCAACATGCTTTTTGCAACTTTCTGTTTTTGCTATAATGCCCTCTGTAACATAGATGTGGGATTCAAGTGATTGCACTGAGATGTGATCTGTAGCAATATGTAATTGTAAATTTACTTTCATTCCTTGTCATTAACCTCCTTAGCGGTTTTCCCGAGTGTAGCTCGGGGTAAAATTTCAATACCAAGAGCGGTAACCCCGAGCTACACTCGGGCTTACCATGCGGCGTTGCTCAGGGGGTCCCTGCAGCACTTACCTTGTCATTCGCTCCCGCGATGTGTCCCCTGCAGCGTCCCCGGCCATCTCCTCCGGCCGATGCCAGCATCCGGCTTCCAGGTTCCGGTCCCTGTGACGTCGGGACATACGGGTGCCGTAACCGGCGGGAAATTTGAAATTTTTTTAAAAATTTCATTTTTGCTGTCATTGCTGTTTCAATGCATTTCACATACATTTTGTCCCTACTGCTCTGTCCTGTGCCCTGCCTGCATTTTGACTGTTCTTTCTGCCTGGAAACTTAGAAAAGTCCATGGCGTCCAAAAAGCGTCCCTTTACGTCAAAAGCGG